CTGTTAAAATTTTTATTTGTTTATAGCTAGATTAACTAAATATCGAAAAATATTGAAATATAGTGGATGTTTGTAAATGCGTTATACACATGTATTTTAGGCCCTGTCGTATATTACATCAGGCGCTTTACCTCTTTCTACTTCTAAATGCCATGTGCAAGCAAGTAATGCATTGGGGCGTGGGGAAATTTCCCCGTTGACCAGTGGTCTTCTAACATTGTCTGTGATTGTTTAATTTTCTCTTCAGTGAAAATTATTAATTGCGGGTAGAAATTGTCAGTGTTATATTTTTACTTCAGTAATAAGATTAATAAATTGGGTTAATGGCCACATTGTATTTTGACTCAAATAAAGGAGTATTTTATTTTTATTGGAGTGGAAATAATTTTACTGGAGTAAAATTTTTTGTGAGTAGCAATGGTGTTTTATTTTTACTGCAGTAAAAATAATTTTAGTGCAGTAAAAATAAGTAACTGTGAGTAGAACGGCCAACCATAGGCGCGCGCCGGATGCCCCCCCCCCCCCCCCCCCCCCACTCCTTAAATCCGCCACTGCTGTAGGTAGTATATAGCTTCGAATAAAATTCATAGAATTTTTTTTTTTTTGAAAACCATAATAACATAATCCGTACACATAATGATATATCCTAGTTGTGTATAAAGTTTCATTAAGATCGGACCAAATCTGCCCGAGGAATAGCGTTTTGAAAGAAATTCTTGGAATTTTTTATTTTGAATAACACCGTTCGTCGAAAATTGAAATACAGAAACTTATTTTGAAATCAAATGAATTTTTTTTTCTATTTGCAGTAACCGTGGGGTTAACTTGTGTAGAAATCAAAAACCGAAATTCGGATTAATGTTTCCTATTTAAGTGGTCCAGTAGAATGAGTTCTAGAAGAATGAGTCTAATTTATCAAAATTGGTCCAAATCTTACGGAAAAATAACCTTTTGAAAGAATTTCATACCATAACTCCCTATGGCATCTCTCGCCCCTTTCAAAGTGTCCCGCCCCGTTTTTTCTTTATTTATTGTATATCTAAAAGTCGCTTGGCACTATTTTTATCACAGGGGCATGTGGAGAGTTATTACGTATAATACAGGTTGTCGGCCGACTTTATACATGTAACCTTTTGAAAGAATTTCACATATTTTCTTTTTAATTTATAACTATGGCAACATCGTTTCTCTAAAATCAAAATCCGACACACAGTATATTTCAAAAGCTAGTTAACACATTTGTTAATTTTGATTCAAACCAGGCAAAATTGTGGAAGGGTATGCGCGTTCAGCGCAATTATTTACAAAGTGACAGAAAGACGGATAAGAAAACCTTACTCAAGGATGAGCTGTTTTTGGTCTCTCTGCAAATTAAATACAAACATTAGGTCACATATACATGTTTATATTCACGTTCGATATTGTCAAAATTTTACACAACACATGCATATGATGTCTAATTTAGCCTTTACAAAACAGTTCTAATAGATGTAATTAGAATATAAAGTCCGCCTACAACCTGTATTATATGTAATAACTCTCCACATGCTCCTGTGCTAAAAATAGTGTCATGCGACTTTCAATGCAATTAACAAAACGGGGCGGGACACTTTGAGAGGGATGAGAGAGGCCACAGTGAGTTAATTTATTGCAAAAGCTCAAAAGCTTCTTGACATATCGCTCGGAAACGAAAGTGTTACACACATACAGAATGTATGAATTTACGACCTTGATATTTAATCTGTTGACCTCAAAGTCAATAGGGGACGTCTTCACTAGGCCACAGGGAGTTGCTATGTAAAATTTCATTGCAAAATCTCAAAGGCTTCTCATAATATCGAGCGGAAACCAAAGTGTTAAAACAGACAGAATTTATGAATTTATGACCTTGACCTCTGATCTTTTGACTTCAAAATCATTATGCCATACGGAGTTGTTATGTAAAATTTCATTGCGAAAGCTCAAAGGCTTCTCGAGATATCGCTCGGAAACGAAAGTGTCGCAGACAGACAGAAAAACAGACGGACTGAGAGACTGACGGACAGACAGACCGAAATTAGTATCCTCCACTTCCCGTGAAAGCGGAGGACAAAAAGAAAGTACAATTTAACGACTTCTGTATACCGATCCCGGCTACACAATTCTCACATTGGTCTTCTTTTTTTTTTAATTCTACCGTTATTTAATTCTTATAAAACAATCATATAAAAATCATGAGTTTATGTGTTTGTTTATCTATTAAAGAAAGAGCGCTCGCTGTTTTTCACATTTTCTTTCTAAAACAATAACATGCTCGCCTCATAGCAGCCGATAATAAAAAAGTCATCTTCTAAAGTGTATGTATTTTTCAATACTTAATTACATGTACGAGGGCTGTTAGGAAATTATTGAGACATTTACTCCATAAAGAAAAGAGATAAATTTATGAAAATTCGTCAACACATCATCAAGAAAAAATAAAACAAATATGCAAAATTTCTAGTTAATAGGATCATTAGATAAGTTCCGATGATATTATAAACTTGCATAGGCCCCTTGGCCTGCAGTAGCACAGCTATGTCATTTTAACGTAAGGTCAGCCGTAGATTTTTCTCTCATGTTGAAACGATCGGACAGCGTTCACTCTTCTTTTCTGTCATCACTTATACAACATTCTAGAAATCAAGTTCTCTCTTTTCTTAAGCGATTCTTTAAAAAATGAAATGTGTGGTACCCCAATATAAAATTACATAAATTAAAGTGTCAGATACAGTTTGACTAGCATCATGCAGAACCGAAGTTTGCACCTCAGGTCAACGTTATTTAGTTCGTAATATTTGATGGTTGTTCTACTCTGGTCGAATAATTTTTGAGGGAAAAATACCAATGAAAAAACAAATTCCTAGACATGTTTCTTCGCATTGTTATTGTTTTCGAGGGTCGTTCAGTCTGGACAGGAGTTCTCCTCAGCGCTACAAAAAAATATTTATGTATGCTTGCTGCTCCGCCTTGACGTCAAAATTCATTTTGCCGTCGTTATAACATTTCTATACCATCATGAAAATTATTTATGATCTTCGTATTTCTTTTCTAAATTCTATCTTGCATAAATAAAGTCAAAATAAAATTTAAAAATTGCATACATAATTTAAATAATATTTCCACTTACTACGGGTCCATCAGAACTTAGTACGTACATGTAGTAGTTACTGATTTTCATGGTCTGATTTCGTGGCTGCGCCGGGTAACCCTACCATTGACTCATTAATATACCATAGAAAAGAAAAAAAAACAAATTTATTTATTATTAGTGTTTGTTGATTAAAAGTAAATGCAATTTTTCGTCAAAAGACTTTCATTATGTAAGAGAATAAACAGAATGCCTCAAAAATTTCCGAACAGCCCTCGTATAGTAAGATGCAAAATGATCATGTATTGGTTTGTACTATATTGGTGTGATAAGTTGCTGTATTTTTTCCCAATGAATAATGTCTAATGACTGGAGTAAAACACCATAATTTCATCTCGTACCCATAAAACCTAGTTCCCCTTGGTACAAGATTTTCTTGTATTTCATTTTTTCCCACTGTATGAAATAATAAGAAGATGAAAAAGGCGACGATTGCGAAGTGTGATCAATCTCAAAAAATCTATAAACAATAGGACACCAGATACAGGACAAACGCCGACCACTGATAACATCAGTGTATTAAAGCAATTAAAACAATTATCATATAGTCTATTTGTAGTCCCTATATAATCTATACAAAAGCAAATGGTTCATAACACTACATATTTACATTTCCAAATGCCTTTCACCGAGATAAAACTACAAATAATATAATAGCTTTATAACCGCATAAAGCGATTTGTTCAGCACAGAACTGCATGCTTTCTCTATGTGTTACTTAGTTATACGCTGGACGGGGCTTGCTAAGTTTTCTTATTTAAGGAATGAAATTAATTGCTACCCAATTTATACGGTATAAAGTGAGTTGGAGCAGTATATGCTTTATAAACCGCGAAGCGGTTTATAAAAAGTGTAAACTGTTCCAACCCACTTTATACCGTATAAATTGGGTAATTATTAATTTCATTCCTCATAATTTAATTTTCATTCGTTTAGTGTAAGAAATAAGATGATTGCCCTTAAAAATGACTTCAAATTGTACAAAATTTAAATGTAAGGTCAGGCGGATCGATACGTTTTTGACGCAAGTCATTGTGACGTAGGCAATCCAATTTATACGATATAAATTAAATTTATTATCCAATCAAATGGCGCGTTACAATCAGAATTAAATTATTATTTAATAAAAATACTTTTTATTGAATCATGTATCAGGTAAAAATGTAGATATAAGAAAAAAACTGTCTGGGATTCTTGTTCATGATGATGGGCAATCAGTTTGCTAGCATTATCACTCGAGCAAACTGATTGATCACGTCATTAAACAAAAAAAAACACTAGACAGTTATTCCTTGTATATTCATTGGAAGCCGTTTTCACCGGAGGGTCAGTGGGCGTGCAGCGGCGATTGTGACGTCACAAAAGACAACTCAAACAACGATGTAAACATTGGTTGCAACGGTTGGAGCGAACTGTGTATCTGAGCAGGAAAAATGTTTTACAAGCCTATCGCCGGATTTTTTTCCAAACATTTCCATGTCTTATACACAACGAAAGGAAAACACGGAAGTTATAACGTAATCGTAGAAGTTCGTTCATGAAAATCGTGTCGTCATGAAGCCTGCAATGTCTTATTCATTCTATATAATAAAATAATTGTGGACTCTTTCGGTGGTGAATATGGTTTGTTCTTCACCAGAAAAATATCAATATTGACCTTCGTCTAGGTCAATATTGTTATTTTTCTGGTGAATTGCAAACCATATTCAACACCGCAAATTTCCATAATTGTATAATATTGAAACAATATTGTTTAATAAGAGATTTTCTTGATAAAAGAATATAAGTTTGTTACCTTGTTATACATTTCCAAATGCTTATGAATTTTCAGGAGAATGTTTCCATACGTCGAATTTTACTTAAGAGGCCTAGATCCTTTTGGATTATATGACGTCATTTTTGACATCATACCCGCCAGCAACAAAAGCTTTAAGTTTCTCAACAACAAATGGGTTCCGATTGCGAGAAAGGAAGAAGAGTATAAGAATCATTCCTTCAAACATCCGGACTCTCCTCGGATTGGATCGGAGTGGATGACTCGAAAGATTTCCTTTGAAAAAATGAAATTGTCAAACAAACCAAGCACAAAGCCTGGGATGGTAAGTGATTTTTCTACTTTGTAAAATAATCTAACAAGTAAAAAGGCTAAGTTGGCATAGTAATGATTAATCGAACTAAGAACAGACAAAACGTTTTAAATCTTAATAGAACTTGTGGAAAAATTAAGAATGGAATATTATATAGTATTAATTTATTAGAAGGGTACGATGGCAAAAGCAATTTGTCAGCTCCAAGGTTAGAACTGTCGTCTTCGTACCGAGGACTGTCAAAATGACCATTGCTTGAAGTCCCATACAACAATTGTTTTATTATACCCAAAATCAATCATGCTTAATAACTTTTGAACAGACCATTTATTCACCATCAACAATGGTCATTGCCTATACATGTAAAGCAACAACTCTTGAATTGATATAAATTTAAAGAACAAACGAAACAGTGATATTTACATGTAGTGTGTTTAATTACATGTATAACTTTAAATCTATATCTTATTTTACTTCACTTTGTTTATGAATATGAAAATCATACTTCGTTAATATTTTTATGTTCCCGTAATCGAAAATTCGGGGGCATATAGCATATGCTCTGTCCTTCCGTCTGCCTTTTTGTCCACACAGAATTTAACCTTAAGCATAACTTTTGATTGGTAGGAGCTAGGGCTTTCATATTTCACTTGTGCATTCCTTTGACAAGACATGTGTTTGGGTACCAACATATTTGATCTATTGACCTTGAAGTTAGACCCACTCTTGCAATATTTTACCAAACTTTAACCTTGGTCATTACTTTTGACCGGTTGGTGCCAGGGCTTTCATATTTCATCTGTGTATTCCTTGTGACAAGACCTTGACCATAATTCCTGAATAGTTGCTGCAAGGGCTTTCATATTTCACAGCTGTATTCCTTGTGATAAGACCTTTCTTTGTGAAACAACATTTTTGATCTCTTGATTGATTGTAAAATAAATTTTATCGTATTTAATGGTATATATTTCTTAATTCTACGTACTACAGATATATTTCAGAAAATAATTTACAAATGGCATCGATATGTGTATTGAAATTGAGAGAATTATAAATATGGATTCCAAAGATTTTTACATGTGTGACACTCTCCAGACAATGATCTGAAACTTGTAAATAGAGATTTTGGCTGATCAGCTTTGACCGTAGTTGATGTATGCCTAAAAACCTAAAACCACACACTTAGTTTTACTAGTGTTCAAAATCAGCTGATTCTGGGAGTACCATGTTTCTATATTATTTACGTCAGAGGATATCATACATTCCCTTGAAGAAACATTACTGTCTGAAATGTGTAAGGTAGCCTCATCGGCAAAAGTCAAGTATCGACAAATAATGGGAAATCATTAATATAAATTAAAAGAGAAGTGGACTTAAAATTCATCCCTATGAGTACTCCCGCTGTGACTAACTTTTTTTTTTCAGATTTTATGTTACCAAGGTAGACACTCTGAAATCTACTGTTAAAATATGAGTTAAACCATTGCACTATTTTGGGGTCAAAATTGTAGTAATGTAATTTTTTGATCCGAATATCATGATTAACTAGATCAAAGGCCATACTAGAATCAAGAAAGATTATGCCAACAAGTTTACCATTATCCATTGCTTGTTACCATTCATCAGTAAGTTTAGTAAGACCAGTTTGGCATAAGAGATCAAAATCTGACACAAAGTTACGAATATATTTGCGACATGTTTTACAATGATTTTTGACAAAGTGGGGAGGATGGATATTGGCCTATAATTATCAGGGTCCAGACTGTCTCCTCTTTTATTTAGGTGTTAGTTTTGCAAGTTTTAGTTCATTGGAAATATCCCCGTAGAGAAATTGATATTTATTAAATGAGTGATTTATTTGTATTTGACTGGGGCAGCGTGTTTTAGAAGACATGGACCAATAGTACATGTATCAATACCAATCGACTTATTTACATAAAGTTTGTTCAATAATAATAACACTTCGTTCTCATGGGTAAAGGGACTACAAAATTTCTCATCATGTTCAAGTTTGGTTTAGTGTAAACTGCGATAATTTCTCATAATCAAAATCTTTCCTTCTCAGCGATATCCGAGATAAGTTTGTTCGATATATCTGTAAAACTAAAACGATTGTTTTGAGGACACCCAAGAAAATTATTTGTATACTTTTGTAAGGAGCATTGATTTTTTCATATGCATACATGTAATTTTTTTACAACTATCGAAAACATTGTTTTTGATGATGAATCGAATTTACAGGGATTGGCGGGACAGTTGGTTTGTTTTCCTTTTTAAAATACGTGTGTAGAAAGAATCACTGTAGCTCCATATTCCTCAAAAACATAACAAATCATATCATTAATTTAGCACACATTGATATCTTTTTATTGCCAATAATGTACAAATAAACACTTGGAGACTAGAATTATGAGACTTCATATCAGTGATAATTTCCACAAGATCATTTTCAATAGCCTCCATATCAGGGTTGTTTCCGACATCATTCCCTCCAGCAAGAATAATTACATTAATGTAGAAGGAGACATTTATCTTAGCTAGTTTTGCACGTATATGGGAAACTTGCGCTCCTATATTCATGCTAACCTGCACCGAAGGCAGTAATCCACAGGTTCTGTTTCTCTGAAGAATTCATCTCATATCAAACGCAGTGCAGTTAAGGTGCGTAATGGGAGTATCGGTAAATTTGTGATAATGGAAAAGGTGGAGACAACGAAACAGTGATCAATCTAAAAAATACCTAACAAACAATACAAAACTATAAATAGATAGTAAGACCCCTGGAAATTCTAGAGGTGGGATCAGGTGCGTAGGAGGAGTTAGCATCCTCTATCGACCGCCCACACCCGCCTGGAACCCTATGTATTGAACAGGTAGACGGAACATTCCGTAGTCTAATTCAGTATAAAAACAAAGGCCTAACAATTCGAATGAAACAAGTCAGCCAAAAGACGATCCAATGATAGGTTATATTTGCTAACAAGTTCATTATTACTACCATAGAATTTACGAAATGTTGACTTTAAACGAGGTTGTTGACATCCCTGTAACATCAATTTATCTGTCAGTAGCCTACCTCGGTTTAAAAATCGATCGTATTCAGAGCATGTTCTTGAGTATCGAATAAGTTGGTAGATATAAACACCATATGCAGGTGATAACGAAATATTACTACATAAATAAGAATGTTGACGATGGAAAAGCTGATCATCTCGTTTGTCATACAGTTTAACTATTAGTTAGCCCTTTTGGTATATAGTCAGTAAAACAAAGAAATATGAAGCAGATGTGGCAGACTCTGTGGTGTTCTTTTATTTCGAGTTCACTGGAATATATCGAGTCGACATATGAATGGAAGTAACTATTGTTAATTGATAAAACTTCGTCGATATAGCTGTATGTCGAGTTGAAGGCCACAGCAAGTGTTTTTTTTTTTCCTTCTCATGTTGAAGTTTTTGAATAAATTCTGCTTCATAGGAATATAAAAATAGGTCGGCTAATAGAGGAGCAAAATTAATGCCCATCACAATTCCATACATACATGTAGATGTTGTCAATGAGAAACTCCAGCATCCTTTTAATATCAACTTCAGAGTACTTATGTGTATAATCAGTATGATTTATACAAAATAATTTTGTTGATGACCAATCAGAAGATTCCAAAATTTCCAAGTTCCATTTTTTTAGAAGATGCAGTTTCAATGATAGCAAAAAGTCTAGTTTTTAATTTATCATGAGGAATGGTGGTATAAAATGTGTAACAGTCATACGTTTTGATGATACTGATTTTTGAAAAAATTATGATTTTAAATTTTCTAAACGTTCCTTTGATTTTTAAAAATCAACATCTGAATTATACCACTTCTAGAATATGCTGTAGCACAGTATGTCTGAAGTTTCTCCTTTACAGTAGTTAATATTTTTGTGAGGAGTAAAGATAGGTGCTTGGTAGATCATTTGCTGGACCCGGCAATGTATCTTAGTTTGTAAGGATTTTTATAAAGTTTAGGAATCCAGTATAGGTAGGGTAGATCGAACTCACCTTCGTTGACTGGAATGTTAAAAGTATTAAAGACTGGAATACGATTTTCAAGAATTTCATCCTTACAAATGAACTGTGAGTATAAATAGGATTTCCAGATGTAGAACTAAAACCAACTTCTAAAATTCAGTTAAATTCAGTTAAAAAAAAACACAATTCAGATCAGAATGACATTTGGCACACATAAGGTCAAACACATGTTCTATAAATAGCAGATGTTAAATAATGTTTAACTCCGTGTTTGTGACGTCACAATGTGAAAATGACGTCAGTATATAGGTCACTTGTGACAAAAAAAATGGTTGACTCAGTCGTACTCGAGCAACGAACGGCTGTAAAGTTTAACGTATATCTCGGAAATTCCTTCGCAATAGAATATAATAATTTGTACAAGGTTTATGAAGACAAAATGAAGACAAAAGACTTACCAGATGTTCAATCATTAATTGGATTGAATGTTTTAGTGAAGGCAGGGAGATGGTTAAAAATTATGTTTGTTCTGTTGCCCAGCGAAAGCAAGCTTAGTTAATGTATTTGTTTTGAAAGATCACCAAGTTACAGTAAAAAAAATAGTTGAATATCTGAGCAATAATATAAGTATTAAATCCCTAAAATATCGTTTACTTTAGACTTTAAACATATGAGATATGAAAAAAGAAGGCGCCCATACTTTTTCCACATTAGATAAACGACGCTCCCAAGACAGAGGACGCGGGTTGTGATGGTCACCATGCTCATTCTGGAAAGGGATATCCTTATCCACCCATCCTATTGCCGATATTTGGCCATTTCTGACATGGTCTGTTCTTGTTATGAAAAATTACTTGCATGGTAAGAAATATTAGACTCATAAAAATCTCTTAGCTTCTGTGAACAGACCGCCACGAAGCATGTCACGCGACTGCCTGGATCACGTGATTCGCGCATGGGCAGAACAATGACAGATGTGCATTAAAATCGGACAGGACTA